AAAGAATTTTTCCATTTGTTTGATCAAAAATGATGATGATCGACTTGTATCTTGTGTATTGTACGTACACTTGAAAAAAAGTTGTTTCATCATCATTATCATTATCAAACAAACACACTTGAACTTTTCATTGATCATTGATAAGCAAATCAATAATGATGTCAATTTCTTTTTTGAAATATCCAACAATAAACACATGCATGTCAATCCTTTCACTTGAATACAGGTGATGTTTTTTTCAAAAAATTTTTCACAATAAATACCAGATGAATTTTATTCAGAATCCAGTTTGATCAAATTGGTTTGATGTGAATCAGTTACAGTGTTATTTTGTGTGTGAAAAAATGTTTCGAAAATTTTTAATATTTTTATTCTTTTTAGTTTTGGTAACAGCCAAACGTAAGACATTTTTTTACACATTGAATTTTGCTGAATCAATTTTTTGTCCCAACAAAACAGGTTTCGGTGTAAGTATGATCAATGATATTAATTATGGTCAAAGAAGATGGGAAAAACGTAATAATAAAACAATGTTACCAGTTGGTGGTATAAATGCTGATGGTCCATATGGACGTTATCGTCGTCCACGTGCAATTAATCTTGATGATAATTTTGATAATGATAAAAATAATCTAAAACAACAATCTGAAATGATTGAAAAGAAATCATTAATGAAAATGTTAAAACAACGGGAAAATAATCAAAAATTTGATGATTTTTGGTCAACAGATAGTGATGATGTAATGGATGATTTGGATAATCGATCAATAACGGATTCAATAAAAACAACGAATGGTACAATGTTATCCAAACGATCATCATGGTCTTCCTATTCATATTCAACACCATCATATACAACACGATCATATTCAACAAATTCAAATTATGATTGGTATTGGCGAAATCGTATGGATAAACAACATTCAATGAATGATTTATCTAATGTAAATTCATCATCAATGAATAATAATAATTTTTCCAATCAAAATGAATCATTTTCAATGCCAAATTTAACCAATGTTTATTAAGCAAAAAAAAAATGGCAATAATATTTTGTTTTTTTCCATATTAAAAACATCTGTTGTTGTTTTGGATGTTTTTCATATTTTGATTATGTTTTTCTTTTTCGACAAATAACAATAATAAAAAACCTATGATTTGAAAAGAAAGGATTGAGTAAATATGACATCAATCATAAACAGGGAACAAAAAACGAATTGGACATTGATATGACCGATGGTCAAGGTCAGATTAAACAATTGAATGTTTTTTGTTCCTATTACTTATTAATTGACATTCTGGACAAACACATCAATCAAATAACCCAAATATATGAAATATGTCAAAATATTTATTCATTTTTTTTCTGTTTCTGTTTGAAAGAGTTATCAATATTTTCTTGTTTTTTTTCTGGATAAAAACCAGAAAATCTTTTTGGATTCTCCTTCCATAATAATTTGAAATTTCCAATGTTTTCATCTGGTTTGATTTGATTGTTTATTTGTTTTTGTTTTTTTGTCTCGGTCTTTAGATTTATCTATTTGTTTGGTTTAGTGTAAATCACCATTATCAACACCCAAAAAAATAACAAAACCAAAATAAAAATCCGTTATAATGATGAGCAATTGAGCAACAAAAAATGACTTGAAATGTAAATGACATTCATAAATTAACTTTTGGAATAGTGGAATGATGATAATGATCATCATCATCATGATAATGATATAAACTACTGAATATACAAAGATGGATAATGATGATGGTAATAATAATAATCATTTTCAATAGATTGTTTTGAGGTTTTGTATTATTATTATTATTATCAAAGCAAGGAAAACAAACTAAATTCATTTAATTTAGTTTCTGTATGTCTAAGTAAATGATGATGACACTTTGATTTACATCAATTGACCACACACACACACTGACTGACTGAATGACTGACTGAATGAATGACTGAAATACAAACAAACCACCCTCACACAGTTTAAATGTGTTATAATAAAATAAATAAAACGAGCGACAAAGATAAAGAAAGAAAATGTTATCACATATCGCATATACCAATGACATTTATTTTAGCATCCTGAATTTAGTCAACAAAACAAAAAAAA